GGCTTATGCAAAGCACTCAACGCTTTGGGTCCACAACCCCGACAGCGTAATGTTGTTCGGCGGCATATGGCGTGGAAAGCAAGCTTTTGAACTTCAACGGGATTCCTGCAATGACCGTTGCATTAATGCAAGCCATCAATATTGATGGCTTGATGAGGTGAAGCGCTGAAGGTACCCTCGTTGTGCTTTGTGCAGTCGGAACGCCCGCCTGGACCCGCAGGCCCGCCAGCAGGCGCCCGCCATCCACCGATGGCTGCGATGGGCGGCGTCAGAGGCCAAGGCCCGGCCCACGACGGCGGCCTCAGAGATTCAGCGACGGGTCCGGACGGGAATCGAAGAGGCGGGAGGGAACGTGGACTACGTTGAGGTACCGCGGTGTAGGCGGCGCTGGTGCCCTTATGTAGGACTGGATACTGTTGTCCGTGCGGCACCATTGTGTGTACATCGCAGGCAGGAAGCTACATACAGAATGCCAGTTGCGTCCATTTTTCAGTGGCGATACGTGGCACATTTCGCAAGACTCCCCCCCACGTTGGAACACTGCTGAGCCGCCAGAACATATGTAGGTGTTCACAGAATGCGCAATGTCGCGTGATCTTTGTCTTGTGTCAATGCCATTTCTGGCGGTGTTTTTGATATTTGGTCTGTGCCTTGCGCCGCTCAGGTAGTTGACGCCGACACATTGCAGCCCATGCCCGATGCATCCCAGCAGGCCACGCTCGTCGCCGTCGCCGCCCATTTCCCCGCAAAGGGTGGAGGAACCGTCCGCCTTATTGACAATGTGGTCATCGGTGGAGCAGCCGGCGACTGATGGCGATCTGCTGCAGGAATCCGCATTCATTGCCGATAAATTCATTGAAGATGCATTGCATTGAAGCTGTGGACATCACATGACAAAAGCGGTTCCTTGCACCTTGCGAATGGGGACGGCTCCGTGCGTTGTATTGGCAAAATATGACGAATGGCTGCCGGGGCACTCGTTGGGCAATGTTGGTGACGCACTGCCAGCTTTATGTATTTGCCGGCAAGCAATCTCGGTGGCCTTTCGGCCTGGGCCCAATAGCCAATGTCCATGCTGGGCCCAGCACGAGTTTGACGTAGCTCAATTGTTGAGGCATTGGACGAATGGCCTGTTGTTTGCGCACAGGAAATTTTGCGCCAGTCGCAAATCCACCTACAAAGTCATTGACTGCCATTCACCTGCGGGTCTGCCATTGATGTTGCAATGGTCTCCGTCGGTGACTCAAGTGGGGCTGGACACTCCCTCCCGCCATAAGGGCACGGACAAAATGTGTTCCCAGTGGTGTTACCCGATCGGGTTATCTCACGGGTTTGGCCCGGCCAAATTGTGTCTTGTCTGTCCGAAATGGTCTTCCCAGTTTGCATTTCAATCATGCCATCGCACGCAAATGCTTTGCATTCCTTTCAGCGCCGCCAAAGTCGGCAGCGCGGATCAAAGTTAAAATTGACGAAGAGATTGGCGCCATCCAATGATCGACAGCCCGCTCGTCCCCTCACCTAAGCCACAGCCGGCGCCTCCAAACAGGAACCTCCCCCAGTGCGCGTGGCCCGCGCCCCTCCACCGGTTCCTAAAAACGCGCGTGACAAAACATTCTGACAAGGGCACTTTGATTGGGTAGCCGCCCCGTTACATACGCGTCCGTGGAGCTACCGCCGCTAGCGGTATCGCAGCGCTGCGATGAACGAGCGTGTCGCCAGGCATGTTGGAGCCATCTTCGACTGCTCTGTCGAAAACGAAGGCTCACAGGCACAGCGCTTGTGAGCTCCAGCACGCCTGCGCGTCGCGTCCAACGCCCGCCACATGTGGCTCTGTACAGAGAGCCCTCAGTCGAGGCGAAAAACGCCAAGCGCTGCCCTGGTTGGGCCCTTTAAGGCGCTCCTTACAGCTCTTGCCAGTTTGCATCGCTCTTTTACAACCTTGGTTGGCCATGGGTCCCAAAAACCGCGTTCGGGGGACTTCCGCAGACGCCCACGGCGTTGTGGCAAGAGTCGACTCTGCCAAAGTCGGCCGGCACACGCTCCTCAAGAGGCATCGGCGCGCTGGCGTGGGCGCCCAGCGGGCGTAAGCAAATGCATCCGGTTGCCGCTGAAGCATCCCGTGGCCTAACGGGGCGGACAGCCGGCACAGCAAGCCGGAGTCCTGCAAGAAAATTGAGGAGCTGTCGGCGAAGTGCAGCCACCGAATATGCAATTGCAATCTGCGTGTCCGCTGGTGAACCGTTGGCGAAGATCGGGGAGGGCAGAGCTGGGAGCGGGGCTGGGCGCTACAGCAGAACAGCAGCGTTACCAGGACCCATCGTCCATGCGATCGTCCATGGGCCAGTCGCCCGTCGGCTGGCCAACCCATCCCATCGAGCTCTGCCTCGAAGGGTGCCCGACCGGCCGTCATTTGTTCGCTTCGTCCGGCTGGCGGTCCTGGATCTGCACCCGGAGACAAAATCTTGTCTCTCGCGCCGCAGCGCTGTTGGCTGCGTGGGTACCTTGGCGAGTTGCATCCGCAGGAGTGCTCCCCCTGGCCGCGCCGCGACCAGAGCCTGTGGTGTTCAGGGAGATGGCTCCCTGCGCGTGAGCCAGCCGGTACTGCTGCTGTACTGTCGCAGTACTGCACACAAGTGCGGTCACTCCGGCACAGGATGACCTCGTGCGAGTTCACATGTGCGCAGCAGGACGTCATCCCTCTGTTGTTTGCTGGGACAGCCTTCACTTCACCCTCGACACGTCGACAAGGTGCAGTTATAGGACTTACGTGAATCCTGCGAAGTACCTGACATCGAGCACTACATGTGTACCCAAAACGCGGTACATGTCCCAATTTCTCTTTCCGGCGCCGCAATTCAGCGCGTACTGCGCACATTAATGTTTTGGGATTCGCAGGTGTTGCACCAGCGCACCTTGCGCCCGGCTGCCACTACACAGGCGTACCACCCAGGGTGTTCTTCGGGATGGCAATGGGAATTCGAGGCTGCGGTGCGGGCAGGCGCAGAGGGCACTGCTCTCCCCGGCTGCTTGTCGTGGCCTCATCTGACCAGCCAACGTTGGCAGCGCGGGCGGCGCTTCTGTAATAATCTGAGTTGCTTTGTCCGAATCGTGCCCCACTTGGGACGGGCCAATACACCATGGAAGTGCAACATCTGCGCAGACTACGGTACGTGTTTGCCCAGTTTGATACACAAACATACGCCACTCGGCGCCGCGCCGGGCGCCACGCTGCATCTGTCGTATGTAGTGCGGCGACACACATGCAACGGTGCATGTTGTGTGAAGACCGGGGAAGGGAAAATCTCATCGTGGTCGCAACTTTGTCCCATTTTCCCATTTCTCTTGGGCGCTTCGAGCCCTTGCGACTCTTCCCTCGACTTTCCTACCTCTGTGTGTGCAAATGGGCGGTGCGGTATTGCGCCTGTGGGAGAACGCACAACCACCTGTTGGGTTGTGCTGCGGTCGCCATCGCCTTTGAGGTTCAAGGGGTTGGGCATGTTGCGCCTCGTTGAGAAACCGCAATCCCAGAAAAATGAAAAGAAGTCACAACTTTGGCTGGTGGCCCCTTTTACACATGTGCCGCTGCGCAACGACTCGCACCCTTGGACTGCGACCTTCAGGTCCCAAAGGCCCGGCACTGGCTCGCACCCATCGGGTGGTGGCTTGGGGACGCCGCGAAGCCAGAGGGGTAATCCCCTGGCCGAACCCCCGGCGAGATCCCCTCGAGCGCAGCCCTCTCGAAAGCCCTTGAAGCCGTGCCCCCCTCCCCGCCCCAACCCCACTGATCACAACCCCGGTGGGAAGCCCTGACAGAAATTCACTACATGAAAGCCCCACGAAACCACATGAAAGCCCCTCAATCACTCTTCCACACACACACACACACACCGATGCTGCCGTACATGACTACGCCGGGAAGGGGCCGAGGCCGCCGGCGGCCAGTAGTACACCGTACTAGGCTCACGGCGCCTCTTACGTTGCTGAATGATGTCGAGGGGATCGCGCCGGACGTAGCCAGGGGCAGCGTTGCTGCCGCCTCGCCGCCCGCCGCGCGTGGGCCGAAGGGGGGGAAACGGCCAGCGGCTGATCCCGTCCCCGGCCAGGGAGGAACTTTCCCAAGGCAGCCGCGGCGCCCGCAGCCCTCACAGGGCCGGACGAGCGCCGCGTGGGTCAGATCTGTAGCCCCCCTCCCCACGACACCCAGAAGCCCTCGCGGCCGCGACGAGCCGCTCGACGAGAATTTGGTCGCTCCGCCGATCTCTGGGACGCGGTGAGAATTGCGGCAGCATTGGATCGCTCAAGTGGAGCCGTCGCGGTTGTCGCTTGCCGCGGTGCGCCCGCGGCCCGGTGGGATTTCTTGGGCCCGGCTGGTGGGCCCGCGTATTGTCCTGAATGCCGCATGTCGTCGGCTTGCCGAGGTGCGCGGGCGGCCGCCCAGTTTTCCTGCCTCTGGCTGCCATTTCCTTGCGGTGTAGGGCATTTTCTCCACGGCAGTAGGCGCACGTGGGGCTCCTTGACGCGGAGACCCAAGGGAGACTCGCCGAGAGTCGCGCGAGGCCCGCGCGGGGGGTCCACTTCGCCGCTCGTTTAAGGGCCCCGGGCCGTACTTCAGCCCCGAAGCCTCGCCCGCATTCCGGGAAGGTCCTCAGCCGCCGGGATTCGATCCGATGTGATTGGCCGCTTGCCGTCCGCACCCCGACGTCTTCGCGCGGCCGAGAGTGGACCCGCGACACCTCGCAGGGGCGGAACCGCCAATCGCGCCCCTTGGAGGGCAAAGCAGGGACCTCAAAGGCGCCTGCGCATGGCTGCCGGGACGTCAGGGCAGCGAAGGGCGATCAGGGAATCCGTCTTGGCTTCTGTGTAGCGAGGAGTCCAGCGAGGGCGCAATGCGGCAAAGCGCGATGCGTCGCGCTCCAGCACGGCCCGCCGGCGCGGCTTTGATGCGCGTCGCCCCCCCGCACCCTCATGGCGGCGGTACGCTTGCCTGCAGGCGGTCGGAGATGGCCCTCGTCGCCATCGAGGGCCCGCCCAGCAACATCCCGGGAGGCGTCCCGGCGAGTCCTGGCGGGGCCGCGGACGGCGGCGGGGCCCTGTGGCAGGACGCTGCGTCGGTGAAGGAGGCGGTGGAGCGGCTGACGGCCGTGGGCCCCAGCAGCCTGGGGGCCCTTGATGACGTGAAGCGCCAGCTGCGCGCCTCAACCAAGCACCATTTCGAGTTTGCGCAGAGCGGCGGCATCAAGGTGGGCGCGCCGCCGAGCCCCCGGAGCGGCCCAGAAGTCGCTTCGCGATCAACTTCCCATAGCTTCGCAATTCGTCGATGCGAGGAGCGGGGCGAAGCGATCCGCGGGCGCGTCCCGCGCTTTGACTTTTGCTGGCCTTCCCCTAGAGCCTCCTCTCTGACAATGGACATGCTGCGTTGACGCTTGGTGTTCTCTCCTTTGTGCTGGCGTCGTTTTGTCCCGGGGCCCCGCTAAGTCTCCCTAAAGGTGGAGGAAGAGTGGGGCTGCGCCTCGTTATTCTGTCTTGTAGCAATCTACCCCCCAGAGCCCGCGGCCATGGGTGGGGGTAATCGGATCGGCAAGACCGAGGTCAAAGATTGGGGGTTTTGTGGTGTTGTTCGATCCGCAGCGGGCTGGAAGGGGAACAGGAGACTTCTCTGTGGGCTTGTTGGGGAAGGGACCCTGGTGAATTTGAAACACCTCGACCCAGTGTGCCCAACTTTGTTGTCTGCAGCTTGAACCCTCAAGGAAAATCGGTCGGTTGGGGTGGTCTAGTGAGCCGAGTCAAATGTGATTGGTGTTGTGGCCTGGCGAGGCTGGATGCACCTGACCTGCAAAGTGGATGTGTGTTGTGGAATGGAACACAGAATGTTCAGGGTGTTCCGTAAAGCTCCCTGAATGCTGATCGAACACAAATGCAAAACACAGCCGTTTGAGGGGCACAAACCTTGTGCGATTGCCCTGCATGTTGCAATGGCTTTGTGCAGATCGGGCAATTGCAGATAATGCAAATATTCAAAAAACCAGCAGCTTGTTGAGAAACAGCCAGGAAATGGCTACAACATACTAGGCTGCCCTAGGCTGTTGTGTGTACCTCTGGAGCTGGTATTGGTGAGGCCTGAAGGTGCCTCTGAATATTGAGGTGGTTGGTCTGGGTAGCTCCTGTTTTCTCACCCTGCTGGACCTGTTTCACCTAATGGGCAGGTTCTGACAAGGTTTCCCTGTCTTCTAGGCTCTCTATGGTCTCCTTACAAAGGGCAACAGCATTATGCAAATGAAGTCCATGGTTGCTCTTGAGGTGAGTGCCCTATTGTGCAACACAAGGACTTGATTGCTCCCTTAGTGAACTTTGGTTCTCTTGAGATGCAAAACTATCGTGCACAGACCTTTGTGGTGGTGGCCAGTGCTAGCCATTGTGTTTAGGATGCAAGGTCAGTGCATTTGGTGCTGGAAAATGGAGTGACAGCAAAAAGTCATTTTGCCAACCTGGCATGAACAAGCATACATTGTGGGTCGCTGTAGGCCCTTGCTGCAAACGAAGACACAAGACCATTCTTTAGAGAGACTCCAGTTGTTGAACTCATACTGCGCCTCATCCGTTCAAGTGGGAGGAAGCCACAATCGAAGCGAAGGCAAATTGCAGGAGAAATCATCAGACTGCTGGCAGGTGAACGACTCAAGGGTCCTCAAATCTGTTTTTCCAGCTGCTGAGGAACTACTAACAGGGGACAGCTACTATTAGTGCAGTGTCCAAGTTGCTTCAGCAAGTCAGAGATATGTGGAAGCTTGCACAACAGCACCATTGTCATGAAGCGTTCTTGCGATGCATTGTCGTGCCTTCAGCAACTAAGCCTATTGTGCCAACATCTTTCATCCATTCCAATTGAACAACCAAAACACTGCAGACTGTGTCACTTGGCTCATGGCTTGTATAGTGTGGCTCATGACCTTCCATTACCTATTCACATTGGAATGAAGGTCTCCTGGCCCATTCTCTGGGCTTCTTTGCACTTTGCCTGCGACGCGGTTCTGGTGGTGTCTTGGCCAGTACACGAGCTTCTTAGAGGCTGCTAGCAAGTGCCACTGTCTGATAACATGTGTCCAAACCTTGACCAGGGTGTCCTTTTCATCCCACCCTTAACAATGCAACTATTCATGCACTTTGGCCGATGTTCTGTCATCCCCAGGCTGCCAGCCGCGCAGCGGCACGCCCCTCAACCGCCAATTCTCCAGTGGAATGCGGCGCATGGGTGGCTCTTGCATCCCAGAGGCTCTATTCCAAGTGGAGTGCTTCAGGGAACGTCCCCTGCCCCTGTGGTACCACACCTCCAACTCCATCCTTCCCTGGGGCACCGAGGCTGTTGGCTGCTTAGTGGACCTCCTCATGTCCAATGTGGCAGAGCACATACACGATGCGGCCCAGCGTGCCATCAAAAAGATCCTGCACGTTAGCCAGTTCACCACCCACATCATCCTGGAGAAGCGTGACATTGCAGCACTTGTTGACTTGATCACCGCTGTGCACCCCACCGCCGTGCTTGCCATGAAGGTGCTCACCTTTGTGTGCATCATGCACCCCTCCAACGAGGTGACCTTTGTGCGCACGGGGGGCCTTGAGGCCATCGTGCAGGCCATGAGGACAGATGCACTGTGTGGCAGGTAAGTCCTTGATTCCATCTGCCAGAACACTCTGAAGCACTGCTGTTGCAGGTGCTTCTGCACGTCTAGGCAAGGGGGCAGACTCCCTATTGCGCCAGGGGAAGATGGGTGCGACAGAATAGTGCCCCTTTTGCCCATCATGCGGTGTCGTGCACAAATACAGTGCGTGTTCCTCTGCAGGAACCACACAGAATTCATGATTTTGCTCTTTTTCCACACTTGCAATTCTCCACATATTCACTTCTCCACGTTGCTGTGTGTGGCAGTGTCTGTGGCGAGATGGCAGCCTGGACAGCCTACCACTTTGGCGCGACTTCCATCGAGAACGCTGAGCGGCTTCTTGAGGTGGGCGTAGCGGACGTGCTTGTGGAGACGCTGCAGTCTCCAGACTACTGCTGCAGGGAGGCGGCCGCAAGGGCGGCGTTGTCCATACTGCAGACCACGGACAAGGCAGGCAACGATGGGAGAGTCATGTTCTGCGAGGCCAATGCCATACCCGCTATCCTAGGCGTCATTCAGGATGGTGGTTATCACTCCCGCCAGCAGGAAGTGCTCCTGGACATCATCAGGTTGGCACCCGGCCACCGACGAAATTACAACCAGAATTCCCTCAAAATCGAATTGAATCCCAGAAGTCTCTACTTTTTGGGTCATATTTTCTGCAGGGTGCTGTTTGGGATCACTCGTGCCTTGTGTTGTCAACAGGGCTTCGTATGGATACTGTCCCTTGAATTGTGTAACGAGTCCAATCGTATGAATTAGACCTGGCTGTCGACAGGCGGGGTGGACAGTAGAACCAGGATTTACACCCCAAGGACCATTGCGTTCCTTGGCCGTCCGTAGGCCTAATGCGAAGGCAGCGTGCAAAAAAACCTGAACTAGGCAAGCGCAAACAGAAGAAAGACTACATCGGAAGCAAAATGTTCCAAGAAAATGTGTGGCTGTTTGTGGCCATCCATGAATCCATTCAAATTCCCTGCCGATTTGGCAGTAAGTGCGATGAACACCAAGCCTGCTTCGTGCAGCAAACTTCTTTTGGCTATTTTCAAGTCAACCGTGTGACTGCCACTGAGTTCCAGTTTGCAGTTGTTCCTCAATCGCGTAGTACAGAAGAACTCGCACTTGGTGGTCTTCCAAAGCTGTCGATTGCAACCACACTTTGCTCGAAACAGGTTACAGCAGCACAAAACAGCAGACACACCTGCCTGTTTGCATACCAATGCGCGCATGTTTGCTTAGTGCTTCTCAATCACTGTATTGTGTGGATGGCCAGAAGCATGGAACCCGATTTGTAAACGAAGTGCAACATTAAAACTCTTTTTCTGCTTGGTGCGTTGATTGCCCTTGCCAGCTATAATCTGCCAGCATCTGATGCTGTCCCAATTAGATCAGTCATCAGTGCTCCCTGGATATCGCTGTGGTGAAGGACGCTGCTCCATGCCTCCTGACAATGCGCAACGAAATTCATTGAACGAATGTGCGGTAAATGTGCAGCAGGTGCTTCTCACCAGTCGATCTTTGTCCCTGACCTTGGAGGTCCAGGGGTCCCAAGACCTGCGTTTGTGTGTGTCAGCTCAGCAGGCCCAGCACCTGCATGGGCAACTGTCGAGGATGGGTTTGCCCTTGTTGTTCATCGTGTTACATACAGTAACCATCCCCAGCATCACTCTGCACAGCCTCGTGCTTGTGTACTCGAATGCTCTGCCTTGTGAGGGCAACTGCAGTCAGGGGCATTCATTGATCCGCAGGATGGCAGTGGAGCTGGCCAAGGTGGAGGAGTACAGGAAGGAGATGCTTCGCGCAGGTGCCCCCGAGACCATGAACGAGGGCCTGACGGGCTGCAGCCTTCCCGTTCTGGAGGCCTCCAAGAAGCTCCAGAAGCTACTTATGTCCAGCAGCGCGCTCAGGAACAAGCCCTGGCTCACGCCCATGCACCAGATCGTTCCGCCGCAGGGATGGATGACAGATGGTGAGAAAAACGAATAATTTGGTCTATTTATTGGTTTCTTTGGGCAAAAAACGAACACAGAGATAAAAACATTCTAGTCAGCCACTCTGTGCACGAGAAGAGTAGGGAAGTTGCCATAGAAATTTGCTTGAGCTGAACGAGAACAGGTCACCAACATGGGCACCATTCAAGCCACACTCAATGACAACAGTAATTACACCATTGTACGCAGCCCGAACTTCATCACCTTCACGACCTACATGACGTCACATCCGAAAATAAATGTATCAGACATTTGTGGCTGCCATGGATTTGATCCCCAACACGGTTGAATGAGCGATCTCCAGCATCCGAAATTTCTTTGTGGCTATCGGTGGTACGGGGTGGTCCCTGTTTCATCTCCTGGGCAACGACTTGGCGATGCAAATTTGCATTCTGTTCTTCAGTCTAGACTACAGAAAGGAACGCGAAACTATTGTTCCTGAGGTGTTGCATTCTGCGCTGCACAAGGCGATCCATAAATCTACAAAAAGGATACCAGCTCCCCGCCGTCGTCTGCACAGACTCGGATGTATGAACCGATGTTGACGAACTGCAAAACGACGGAATTGGCCACCAGCCCTATGTACTGGAGCACGCACCCTGTTCGGGCACCTAAGCTGTACGGCACTATGCAATCGTGCTTGCAACAGATACGTTGCCCAACGTTCTTCAATATGCCTGTCCATTATTGCACATTTAATCAATGGTGTAATTACTGTTGTCATTGAGTGTGGCTTGTTTCATTTAATGCAGCTCGTTGCCTTGCCCACCGTGCTCAAGAGACTTGATATTGATGTTAGCAACAATCAATCCAATTACGCAGGTCAATTGCCATCAGCATTTGATGTACAAATATGGAAGAATGCAATACACTATTGGTACTCAGCACGCAGATTAGCCGCTGCAGCCTGGGGTCTTGACGGTTGGGAGGGAATGAAGCCAGAAGATTTCTGTTGATGGGATTCGTCACCACATGGCGAATCGCTGTCCTTACCCCCTCTAGGCAGCGACGGGTGGTCTTGCATCTGGGTTTTTTTAGTTAATGGTACGACAACGTGAGGTAGTTTGTTGGCGTAAGAATATCAGTGCTGCTTCCTCCCAAACTGCATGTGCGCTGTTGTTGTTGGTCAGCCTGCGCACAGCACTGAAACAAGACAGATGAGTCAGGAACGGGTTGTGGTTGTTGACTTTGGTGAATTGGAACGCAGCCCATGTGCTAACGTGTTGTGCTTGTCAAATCATGATAAAACCTTGCCTTTACGCTCACAGGCTGCAGTGGCAAATGGCTACAAAGCGTGCAGCTGTGCTTTCGGAAAAAGGAGTCGTATCGCATCCATGATACGGAAGCCGTGGCCGCCAACGCGCTGGCTGGAGCGCCTCTTGATCTGGGCAGGTGGCCGAGGCAGCAAATAGGAGGACCTAAAAATAGGTAGTTCACAATTTTATGCATTGCTCGAAAAGTACAACTGTGACTGCAGTGATGCCCCCTCGTGCTGCGCACGTGTGGGAATTTGCACCTGGTTCGACTGGATCGATACGGATACTGGACATTGTACGCCACCGAAAACTGCACCATTTGCTATGCCATAGATGGAAAGTAAAGCAATTCGGTTGCCGTATTGAACTCGGTTTCTTCTGGGACTCCAGTGCCTTCTGCTGACAGAACTGCAGCAGTTGGTTGTTGATGAGCCGGCGACGCATCAGAAGGGCTGTGCTCTGTCATTTCTTGCAATTGTAATCAAAGGAATTCGATGATAATAAAAATTTAGAAGAATGGGGCGATGCTTTTGTTCACCTCTCCAGATCGTCTGGCATGTGTCCCGGCACCCAAGGTGTGAGAACATCACCCAGCCACAAACTAACACAAAACACCTGTAACTCTGACGCCTCCCTATGCCGTGCACTTGACACACAGGCAGCAGTTGGAATGGGTGGAGGCTTGGGATAGCGCCGGCGCTGAGCGCAGTGCGGGAAATGCGGGCAACAGTCACGACAACCTGGGCACCATCGATGAGCACCGCATCTCCGACGGTGGCCTGACCGAAGGCAGGGTGAGGTCACCTCTCAGCATGACGTCCCTCCCCGCGCGGCGTGGGATAGGGCGCCACTCGCTGGAGCCGCAGGACAGCGCGAAGGGCCTCATGTCCAACTCCCTTGACTTTGGGACCTCGGACGTCAGCCAGTCTGCCAGCCAGTCGGACCTGTTTGCCACCAGGGACTTCATTTGAGCCCCGCCTCGCGCCCTTAGGTTCACGAGCTTGGCACGACGAGGCGGACGTGTCCGGGTACTCCAATACGGGAATTTGAGTTGGTGAATGCTGCATCAGCTGGGAGGGAGGGCGTGGCCGAGTCGTCCCTAAACTCCTTGTTTGGCGCTCTTTTGACTGATCAGTCTTTTGGCTGGAGAAAGGGGAGCCGCCCCACTGCCCTGATCTTCTGCTGGTCGGGAGTTTTCTTGGGTTCTTGGGTTTTCTTGGGAGTTTTCTTGAGTTTTCTTGGGTTGTTCATGCATGCTGCGGCGGAACTGGTCCACGGGGCTCAATTTCGTTGCTGTGTTTTGTGAATTGGTTGCTCGCTGGTCGGGCGGCCAAGCGAAAGACTGGGCGGCGTGTTGAAAATGCACAGCTGGTGGTGCGGTCGGTCGGTAGGGGTGGCTGCGGGCACAGCGTCCGTGAGCAGGGAAACAGGAAGGCCCGAAATGCATGTTCGGATCCACATGCGACTTTTCCGCAATGGGCAGGTCAGCCGGGTAGGAAACAGGCTGTGCGTGAAAGAAGACAGACTAGCTGTCTCATGGAACTTGTTCAGACATCGAATTCATTTCTGGAGTTGGAGTGGGAGTTGGAGTTGGCGTTGGAGTTGGAGTTGGAATGACAGTTGGTTTTGCACTTGATGCCCCGCAAATCCGCTTCGGCCCCACCACGCCAGCGGCACATTATTGGCCTCTCGTCGCTCGGCCTTTTGTTTTGTGGCGACTGCGTGGCGCGGGCGTCAAGCGGGGGGCTGGCAGCACGAAGCTGGCGAACTGCGGCCTCAGTACTGCGTAATTTGTGTAAGTGCATAGGCGGGGCTTAGTGTGGCCGCCATAGGTGAGGAGTCGCTTCATAAATGCTGGAAGCCCCCAGATGTGTGGGCAGGCGAAGTGTGCGATTGGAATGAAAGAGCATTGGATAAAGGGCCTGCTGCCATTGGAACATCTGCAAATAAAATGGCCGGGAAGCGAAGTGGCAGGGATGGCACGCGCGCCGCCAAAGCATCGCAGTTTATCAGCTCTTCCGTTGAGAAGAGTCCGAATGGTGGTGGTTGCAGAGGCGGACTGAACCTGGCCTTGTAGGTGCATTCTCCCAGTTTTTGTCGGTGTCCGTAGCCTTTTGGGGGACGGCTTTTGTACTTTTGGGCTCGCGAGGTTTCGCGAGATCTGTACCTGTGTTGAACATGGGCTGTTGGGACGCAGGGAGATGGGGGCACCGGGGATTAGGATTCGAACATGAGCGCAGACCATGGGATTCGGTGATTGGCAATTCGAGCCTCTCCAGTGCTGCAGTCTGTGAGGGAACCTTGGACATTGCCTTTCGCCTAACTTGTTGACAGTGGCTGCTTGTACAACGGCTGTACCGTGCTCATGGTGATTCGCAAAGCTGGCCAACGGCAGTTCGCGAACTGCCGAGTCTGCGAACACAGACTCAGGCCGTGTTTTTAATATCAGATTTCCCACTGATTGGCGCTGATATCGCTATATCCCGGCCTTTGACACCTGGTTGGTGTTGGCCGTTTGTGTCTGCCACAACAGTCGCCCCTCGCCACTGGCAACCCCAGAAAAGAGCCAAAACCTCATGGCCTGGAAATTCGCGTGGCGTGTCGCTGTATTTTCGGGGTGTGTAGAATTTTGTGGCTTTAGATATGTGTGGGTGTTGACCCAACACAAGAATGGTCGAGAAGTGAAGATCACGAAACGAGGTTTGAGACACCCGTTCGCATCATGTCAGGTCGCACGGGAAACAACGCCGTTTGGCGATATCGCATCGACGCACGCCCACCTGTGCTCAGTAGGCATCACGGCCTCATTTTCGCGCAGCCCTGTGCTTGGAGTCCTTGTGGTCCATGGGCTGGGCGACCGAACACATAGATGCTTTCGATGCCCTCCCGAGTTTTGAAAGGGTGCCTTCCATTCCCCGTTGTCACAAGGTCCATACATTATAAACAAGAAACCAACATGCACGCGGACATATTGCACGAATTGGCCACTCTTTGGCGCGTGTCTTGCGGTCTAGTAACTTTATGCAAACAGGGAACGAAATTGTGTGAAATAGCCCAGACATTAATGGGCCCATTGATGGACAGCTTTTTGATTTACGATTCCGGACCGTACAGTACATGTCTCCACGGTGGGTTTGGTTCAGCGTGCGTACGATGCGCCTTGCCGCCCTGTGTTTTGCCTTTGTGCCCTTGCCCCTGCTGAATCATGTCCGCAGCGGGGAAACAAAATCTCCAAGGCTTGCGTTTCCGAGGAATCGTTTCCTTTTCACATAACGCTAAGCGCACAACTCGCAGTCAACACAGTCGCAACCACGTTTGTGCCCACAGGCCAGCAATCTTCTCCATTTGAAGAAGACTAATTTCCGACATCACCGTCAAAGGCAGTGTCTTGTCGTGGTCCTTCGACAACTCCCACCAAGTGACTCAACCAGCAAGCTGGCTGCGTGACTCCTGCAGGTGCGTCGTTTGCAAATGCCGGTTGGTTTCTTGGATCGTTCGCAACCGCAATTGCGTTGGATGGTGAACCATCCAAGAAACTGCCCATGCGGAGCCACCGGCCCGTGCTCGGTCGTGACCGGCGTCGCTGCCTCCCGTATCGGGTGGTCACATCCCGAGGGCGACATTCGCGCACCTGCCAACACAGCGGGCCGCCGCCTCGTCGACGCTACAGCTGTCGCGGTCACCTCCGGGGGGGAAGCCTAGCCTCACGAGACGCCGTCACGGCGGCTGTTCCCTCCCGGCTCCTAAAAGGCCCGCCACGACCTGCGGCCGACCCCGCAGTCTTACTCCCTCCCCTGTTTCTTCCACCGCCCCCTCCCCGTCGGAGAAGAGCCGCTATCCGCTGGGAGGGAAGGGCGCGGACTGGGCGGATCGGCGGAAAGTCAGCTGGGAACCGACAAGAAATCGACGGAAAGCCAGCTGCGAATCGAACATCCACGGAAAGCTAGCCCGGAGTCGACAATAAGGCGACAGGCAGCCAGCTGGGGCGGGCGCGTTCTTGACTACAGCGCACGCTGCGGTGGTCGCGGCGGCTCGGAGGCTCTCAAGGGGAGCCGGCAACAGAGGCGCCGATGGCGGAGTCCCGCGGGTCCAGCCCGCGGTCCTGCTCTTCGGCGCGCTCGTCCCGGTCGCCGCCGCTCCAGCTGCGGAGGATCGACCCCGGCGAGGATGGCGACGGCGGCCCGTGTCAGTCCAACTCGTTCGCGTCGCTGATGGGGAGCAGCGACTACGTCCCGGGGTACCACTGCTCGTCCAGGTGGGCGATGCACTAGTCTAGCACTTGGGCTCAGGTTGTGACTCTGCTCAACGCTGAGAGTCTGCCGAATGCGCTGGGGTTTGGCCGGCCGTACCCGCGTTGCCGAGCGTGCCTGGCCGGCGGCGGGCGCGAGGTTTCCGACTGAGTTCGGCAACCAGAGGCAAACACGGCGCGCGAACCTTGCAGGCTAACCTGTCACCACAGCGCTATGGCGCACACATTGGGGCTGGCGTGCGGGCAAGTGTGAGATCAGCTGCTCCCGCCAAGGGGGGAGCCGCAGCGGGAAGCTGCGACCAGGCTGAAGGCAGCAGGAACGCAGGCCCGGGTCGTTGCTGGGGCGCCGTCATCTTTGCCCGGCTGGACGGGATGTAGTGTGGGTCGTGTACTGGAAAGGAGGCCCGCGCCTGGCGCCATTCCTCCGCGGCTCCGATTGGGGGTGCACCACGCCGGGTTTTGCAACATGTGCGTGCCGGATCCATTAGGATGCACGTCCATGCGCGACGGGATCGCACGGGGAATGCATCACGCCGACGCCCAGTAGCAGCCCCGCACCCCGCATCGATCGGTATCCTAGAATGCCCATTTGGCTACTCTGCTAGTTTCATTGTCCCTCGCACTGAATGCAAAATTAGGGGTAACTAGCCGCAAAGTCCTGCAGGGACTGGCACGTCCCTGATCGCAACAAGAGCTGCAGTAAGGTGGAAAACCTGTTGTAGTCTGCTATCGATGGCAAAGACTGATATTAGTCTTTGGCTGGCTGCGCCAGCTGAGGCACATGCGTCAAACAGTGTGGATACGATCATGCCCGTCATCAGGCTTGGTTTTTACGCCGTAAAAACTGATCGTATGTACGTTTTTACGCGTAAAAATAGTTTTTACGTTTTTACGCATGAAAATGCGTAAAAATACGTAAATACAACGTAAAAACTGTCCGGTGTACAGAAGGTCAATACTTACAGACTTACGGAGTCCGGAGAGTGGCAGCTAGGCGACCTGGAAGGGGCAGAAAACGGGTTTTTCTTAAGCGCCATCATCGCCCTTGCCAAAGGCGAGGTGGACATTGTGTTGCGGGTGCTGGAGTTGGCGGATGACTTATCATTGTATGCAACTTTCATCATATAACCTGGGTGTCCCAGGGAGCCGTAAAAAAGTAAAAATAGCCGCAAAAATAGGCCCTTTTGCAAATTTACGTTTTTGCGCGTAGAAATGTAAAAGTAAAAACGTAAACATAAACGTAAAACCCAAGCCTGCCCGTCATCACCGGCAATGCGCAAGGGCAGTTCTGTGTTGTGTGCTGGTGAGTGTTATCAAATAACTAGATCATGTTCAGCGCAAAACGGCAGTCGAAATCTCATCGCAGCTCACCGTCATGATTTTCCTGGTCAGGGCTCTGTCGCCCATCACTGGGGAGCCTTGGATGCAGCAAAACGGGACGTCCTCACCGTGGAGCTCCCACGGAGGTGGAAACCCTTCCCTCGCGAGGGCCTTCTCCCCGCCCCGGTTCAAGCTGACGACAGTTGGATCTGACATTGGGGACGATGCCCTGCATGCCTTCCACAGCGGCCTGCGGCTGTCGGGGCGCAGTCGCGTGGATGACATCCATGCTTCGGCGCGCATGGCGGAGTACATCGACATGTCGTTCGTGGCAGACGAGGAGGCGCTCGCCCGCCATATGGGAGACACGTCAAAGCCGGCCACTGACATGCTTCAGGCGGTCAGCAGGTCTTTGGCCGAGAGGCAGGGTGTTATGGAGCGATGGGGGGAGAGGCGTGCCCTCAAGGAGGTGGAGGGCGATCAATAGGGCTAGGCGGGGTTCACTGATTGTTGGCGCCGCAATTGTCTGGGGAGCCGTTTGCTCTTCGTTACTCTACCTAAGTTGCTGATTATCAACGGCTTAGATATCGTCAATATGCTGTTTGGTGGGATGTTTTGTGGGTGGATTTGGCCGGGATTCGTGGAATTTGCCTGAATTCTGTTGAGCACCAAATGGGAAGAGTGTGGTGGATGCCAGTCGGGGAGTGGAAACTTCTTCACAGAATGTGGATAGGAGGAGCATTGATAGCTCAGAGGTGACTGCTTCATGCAGTACTTTCACGCTTGGGTAATTTCATATTTTGAATATGTGGAAGATGTGCATACATGTACTTAATGTAAATTTGGACACCGAAGATGCCAATTTCATTTGAATGGAGAGTTTCGCTTCCATTGGCGGCTTGAAGCCGGCCGCCACACAACATGTGATTCTGAAAATGGGTGGTGGTTGCGATGCCAGCACCATGGTGACAGCAACAATGAAAATTTGTTACTAGCGCCCTGCCGTGTTTTCCCTGTTTTTGGAACGGTGGCTCTTCACAGCTGAATCAGAGGCACGCATTGGAAGCCAACCGCCCGTGCACGTGATCACGTGGTCATGTGGCAATGTGCTGTTGTGACAACATGGCTACGAGCTGCCAGCTGGCAGCGTTCCCTGGAACAACCATTGGTCTAATGGAAACTGACCTGCAAGGCACAGATCACCAAATGTTCGAAGCTTCGGTTCCCATACATATAACGCTTCCATGCTCTGCCTGCTGTATGCAGCAAGGCTGCCTTCAAAAGCTAGTTGGGACCCACAAGAAAAGGCTTTGGATATGTACTCAAGGCAGCGCAGCACCAAAATCGGTCCGCCGCTTGCAATCCAATTGTATGCATACCAATTGGTATGAAGTTTGCGAGGGTGAAATCGCGTCATGAAATTTGCGCACCCATGCCTTCCACGTCATGATCGAAAGAAATTGCTATTGCTCATTCGCATTTAACTCTGCGGTACTTTGCCGTTTTTGATGCCACTTCGCATATAATACTGAACATCATTGAATGTAAGCTTGGCAGATACAAGTGAAACTGAGTATCTCAAGGAATTACTATGGACCGAGCTTTGCTCCGACCCGCCCAGATGCGGCTTTATCAATGAAAGGCTTAAGCGACCGCATTGGTGCACCAAAACATCACGTCCGACGCAGCGGCATGCATCACAAGCCGCAGGGGTGTGCCGCCGCCTCGGGGCATTGTTGATTGTGTGCGGGTTCCAGGAGCGCTCTGGGCCTAGTTACCCAGAACCAATAAAGTTAGGCGAATGTTGGCAACTGGGGGCATGTCGCACCGCGGCGAACGTGTCAGCTCCATTACACGCAATGGCTGCGTTGAGTATCCGGCTTTGCAAATGTGCAAGGGAGTTGAAAGGTGAATGACGGCGATATGCTATGGATACTTCCATTCGAACGTGAGGGGCACTAAGCTTTGAAAGAAGAAGATTTTTGTTGGATAATGGAAAATGGTGTATCTTTTGACAAAGGGCTTTATGTTGTCAGGTCGTACTAAAAGAGTGAGAAAAAGGAATTGCAGCTGCAGATATGGAGTAACAAAGCGATAATTTCACACAGCCGTCGCTCGATAAGGATGGAACAAATGGATCTGGCTCTCTTGACGCGAACGCCAGGGATTCCAGGTTCTGGATGATTGTGCTCTAAAACATAACTATTTTCCAGTATCAAAGGTCCATTGGTGTGTTCTTTGCAGTGATAAATCGTCGCTGTTGAAGAGCCATCTGATCGGAATCTTGAGTTGTGACTTGACTGATCATCCAATCCCTTGTCTTCGGGCTGGGGTGACACGTGGGCGGCCCTGGACTCGGCCATGAAACATTCTGATGGGTGGTATGGCACCGGACGGCGACATGCACATTTTTACCCCAACACCAAACGCAGGAATTCTTCTTGTTGTCTTCGGCTGAATTCTCGTTGGGCCCTAGTACATTATGTCAAGCGGACCTCGACGACCAGCAAGTCCTGTCCAAACTCCGCCATAAGGTCGCACGACGATTCTACGATTCGACGATGCAACAGCCATGGTTGTTCTTCAAGGTCCGCCCGACCATAGAGGCCGTCCCGTGCGGCAGCAACGCCGAGTGAGGGCTGAGGACACAGGAGCTCTCCATTCGCAAACGAAACCACTGAACGGCGCTGCGGCGCACCCTCAGGCGCATTCCGAGCCCAGCCGCGGGGCGGGCAACCCGCCGCGGGGATCCAAGCGGGGCGTTTCCAATCGGGCTCGAATCACCGGGTCCCATTGCCAACCAGGTCGCGACCTCAGCGCCAGGAATCCCAGGCAGCGCCAGGCCCCATCCAGTCCAGACCCCGCGGGCGGCACGGGCGCTCCACGCCGTCGATCCGCACCGGCGGCCTCTCAGCCGGCCGCGCGGCCACGGGCGGCATCCGTGCCCTTTTGAAGGCCCCGAATTTGGGGCCCCATGGCCGGCGAGCCCGTGGAGGGCCCTTACCTGGAGCCCCTGGCGACGTCCGACCTGCATGCGCTGATGTGCATGACCGGCGCCGGCGCCAGGGAGGCCAGGCTGTGCCTGGAGGCCGCGCGGGCCGACCTGGGGCTCGCCGTGGCGATCTTCGAGTCCCGGGTGGCGCGGGCGGTGATGGCGGACAGCCCGCCAGCCAATGTCCGGGATGGGTGGCCGCCGTGGTTGGGAAAATCTCTGATACATCGGATGGTGGCCATGGACGGGGTTTCGCGGGGGCATGAGGGGAAGAGCCTGGTGGACACGGCGGTGCAGCTGATCGGGGGAATGTTGTTGGCGGTAGTTGTTTTGTGGATCGGAATGGGGTGACTTGCGGTGGTAGTGTTGGTGGGATGGGGTTTGGGAGGGGTAATAAGATTGTTATGAGGCAGAATGGCGAGGCGGGGTTGGGTGGGGGGGGTGGGGGGGGGAGGAGGGTCCCGGCGGGGTGTGCTTGGGAGGATGAGCCACCATTGGCAATCCCATCATTGGGTTTGTCGCGTGGCACAATTTGCATTTCCTGGGTGCCGAGCAGTGAGCTGAGCAGCCAGGCAGTTTGGAGCAGTTGGGCTTTTGGAGGAACTGGAGTTGGTTTGGGTGCAGCTTTGCTTGGGCTCAAGGCCACTTGTACATTACCTGGACATTCTTCCACATGACGAACGCATATGTTATGCGCTTTTGCTCACTGATTTGTTGAAAGTTGGTCCTGACTTG